TTTAGAATGTGCCATTTCGTTCAACTCATGAAAGATTGGAGATAGCCTGAAAAAGCCCAGGTGGCAAGGACTTCCACGGGGTATTACGCGTTTTCCGTCCTCTACCCTTCCCCATCCTCATTACCAAGCACCAGGACCAAAAGAAGCGTGTTCAGAGCGCCGAATTCGTGCGAGACACCTTCTTCAGGGGCGGTAGGTTCCTCCCCGGCCGCCGTCTCGCTCACTTCTGGTGTATAACCAAGTAGCGGGGTCACGCAGCCCCCGACATCAAAAAGGGAGGAAAAATGAGAAAATGAAAGCCACATACAGTAGGTTTGTGAAGGTATGATCAACGAGGCAGTGAGGCCATGACGGCTTTTGCCGTTGAAATGGTTGCGAAAAACGCGGGCTAACCCTAATAGGGTGAAGAAGGAAGGAAGGGAGGAAGGAAGGGAGGAGCAGGGCTGTACCTCGGACCAAAAGTTGGCGGAGAACGATATCCGCTATGGCTGAGACTGTCATTCTTCCTAAAATCAAAACCTGTCGGTTCGAAAAATGCGTGAGCTAAAGGAAAAAAATCATTTTTAAAAAACGAGGAGCAGGGAGAGGAGGAACAAGTATGATGATAGGCATGTCCTTGCCGTCAGAGGAGAGGAATCTGTGCATTATTTACACCGCCCAGCAAACGGGAACACCATCAAGCCTTGTCCATGCACTTTTGTACCTATCCATAGCAACAGCGGCTGCACAAATGAAACGTGTGAACGATCGGTTTGCGTCCCAAAGTTGCGCGAGGGGCATCACCCTCCCATCGGGCGAGCAGGAATCGCCAGGCGTAGGGGCCGCAGGAGTCATTACAAAGCGACCAAAAAGACAGCAGGCAGGTATATGGATGGACTTCGTGCACGCGCCACATGGAGGACCGTGTTTTTTTTTCGGTACACGTGACCGAGCCATGGTTTGGAGGAATGCCCGTGCTGTCCACGCGGACGGCTTCACACGTGTGGCGAGACCGGGTCGGACCAATGAGAAATACTATTACTGTGATTCTTTCAACCACTTTGACAAGATCAAGTCTTATTTTTAAGAAGCCTGGGCAAACCTGCTCAAACTCTACGCGCTTCGAGACAGATTTTGGGCCTTTGTTTCTTCCCCAAGACCTTGAGAAATGGCGAGGGTTAAGTAGGAGGCAGGAAAAGGGGATGGATAAGAATACGTTCCATTTGAAGCCCAACCTCCGACAAATTTCAGTAGAAACAATCAGAAGCACGTGTGTCTGTCATCAAAGCACATCAAGATTTCTCTTTTTTTAAAAAAGATCGTTTGACCATTGTTGACCATTGCCGGCACCTCCCCCTGTTGTCAAGAGCCACGAATTGTCTTGATATTGGCACCAAGCGCTCATCGCATAATTTAGATGAGTTCATGCCTCCCTTCATTGATTTCCCTTCCAAATGCGCTCGCGCGTCATCGTTACTTGCTTTCAACCTTCCCCCCCCCCTCCTAGTTTTCGTCCAAGCCGGTACCATGCTAAAGCAAGACTTTTTCAGCAGCTTCAATTCCTTTCCCCTCCCTCCCTCCCTCCCTCCTTCCCTCCTTTTCCCCCTCCTATGGCCGGAGGCGCGCAGTCAAGAGGGTGACTGCCTCTCGACTGAGCACCAAGGTGTCATACCGCACGATGTCCATGACGTTGGCGCCCTAGGGAGGGAGGAAGGGAGGGAGGGAGGAAGGGAGGGAGGGAGGAAGGGAGGGTGGAAAAAAAGGAGGAAGGAACGTCGTTTTCGTTCAAAAATTGTTGTGCATGCAAGAATGCGTCA